TTTTGTCCAAGTTTCTTGTCTCCATCTTCTCCTGCTGTCTTGGCCAAAGAATACCACTACCTCTTAAGAGTGACTATAGTTCCAATTTTAAGGATGGTTGTGCTTCTCCCTGAGAAGAGACCCCGTGGGTGACAAGTGTCCAGGCCACAAGGTCAGGCACAGGCCCAACTCCAGAGTCCACGAGGACTGTGCTCAAGGCAGCTGCCTGTAACCCCACGGTACATGTGCTGACTTGCTGTAGGGGCAGGAAGAGGTCAAGTTTGGTGGTGCCCTTCAACAGTTTTGTGCCCAGCTGCTCATCCCACCCAGGGACAGTCAACGGTGGCTCCTGACACCTGGCACTCGTTGAGGCCTAAGAAGTTTCTTTTCTGTCACTACAGGACTTGAGGCCCCCGTGTGTCTGTCGGGTTCCATAAGGACAGACAGACAGGGAAGGTCCACTGAAGGCGAAGTGTCCTGGCTGCAGCTGTTTCCGGGGGTGGTGCTTAGGATGGGGGTGGAACAGAGCTAGGGAGACCCAGAGGGGGCTGGAGCCAGAGGCCTGGTTTCCTCCTGGAGGGGGAGGTCTGCGGATACTTTCAGGTCTCCAGGACAGTATGGTTTTCAGTGCTGTGGGCTTGCACAGGGTCCTTGTAACAGACTCTCCCCAGTTCCCTGCATCATGAGTTATTAATACTTACCTAGAGCACACCTATTATGGTTAGATGGATGGTTCTCCTCCCCTTCTCCCTCAGCTGAGTCCCCAGGTCCCAACTCAAGAAGGTCCAGTCCCTCTGCTGCCCCAACACTCCCACTTCTAGGACCCTGGTCCTTACTTTGTAGGCCCCCTGCCCACAGAGGCTCTGTGGTGGGGTGTGTGATGATGTGCAAGGTAGGATGAGCACACTGGGTGTGAAATCAGAAGTCACCATAAGGGTCTCTGCAGAACAGAGCATGGGATGGTGGGGGAAGGCAGTCTCTTCCATGGAAGCCCCCAGAGTCCCGAAGAGTCCCTAAAAGTCCTCGGGAAGATGCTGTGTCTTGATGTGCCCAAGTACCATCCTATACCCTTGGTTCAGACAGGGTTTTGGGTGAAGATCTTGCCTGGCCCTTCCCAGAAGCCAGGGCTAGTGAGAAGCCCAAGCCTTGCAGGTTTGAACTGCTGATGAATCCCACCATGCTCTGTGTCTTATGCAGAAGTGTGGCTGGCATCCGTCAGGTGAATAGGAGCTGAGAGGGGGTGGGGAGGCTGGTGCAGCGCCCTAGCCCTCTTCCTGGCAAAGCACCCCTCCTGCCTAGCTCCCTCAGTGGAGTAACCTCTATGGAGCTCTGGAACTATGAGGTTGGGGAAACCCAATGCTCGTTGTACACCCCACCCACACACCCACACTCACTCATCTCTGTCAGTACAGAGGTTCTGAGCAGAAGTCCCAGCCAGGGCCAGGCTTATCTGGTGAGCAATAGTTGAACTGCAGTCGTCTTTGGGGATACCCCAGCAACTGCTATTCTTGAGGGGAGAGCTGTGGTCCTTTTGCTCAGCCTGCAAATCTGCAGCATCTTGGGGGAGCACTGTGGCCACTGTGAAGTAAGGGGGAGCCCAGGCAGAAAGGCAGGGCCTTAGCTTCCAACCTTCCTGTGGGTACCTGCAGGCACATTTGTCGCAGCCAAATTCTGTCCCCGATACCTGGATCCTGTCCCTGGTGGAAATGGTGGATCTCATCTGTAAGCATTCAGGCCCTCTGGACAATTGTGCAACTAGCCCCCCTCCATTTCAGGGACACTGATCACACCCCTGAAACTCCATTTATGCTTAACTGCCTGAGGCAGGCAGTCCTGTGTGTGGCCAATCAAACAGAAAGACCCAAGAGTGGGGAAATGCTCCATCTAAATGAACCATTTGGCACAGTTGGACATTTCCCAGGACTCCACCAGGGTGCTGGCTTTGGGAAAATGAGAGCCTAAACTTCTGGTGGAAGAGGCCTGAGCCTGCTTTTGAGGGGCACCCGGGTGGTCTGTAGGCTTCGCGCCTTATTGCTACAGCCTGCAATGGTGGCAGGAGGTGGGCAGAAGGGAGGGACTCAGCCTGGGGCTGTCATGCAGGGCCATCCTTCCTTCCAGATGTGCTAGCTAACGGTGGACCTCCAGCGCAGTTCAGTTTTTCAAGTGGACTGGATTCCCTCTCGTGGAGGGAAACATGGGGACGCAGAACTCTCTCTGAGTTTAGAAGCCAGTGTCTTCACCTAGCATCTCTACACGTGGGTGGACCCTGTGGGCTAGTGGGTGGAGCCTGTGGGCTAGTGGGTGGAGCCTGTGGGCTAGTGGGTGGAGCCTGTGGGCTAGTGGGTGGAGCCTGTGGGCTAGTGGGCGGAGCCTCCATTGGCTGCAACCTCTCCTGGGCATGGCTGAGCCACACCCAGAGCTCGTCCTCAGAGCCCTGGGCTCTGGGGGAAGATGGACAGGATGTTTCTGGGACAGACACCCTTCAGGCTCCCTTTGCCCCCTTGGCAGTGTCTCCAGCAGCTGCAAGTCTCTTTGTCCAGGACTCTCCACAAGAAAAGCAATGTGGAGAGTCCGCTACTGAGTGCTCCCTCAGCAACCAACCCTTGGCAGCGTTGACTCCCTCGCAGCCTTCCTTTGAAATAAGTCTGTCCTTTGCCTTCTGGTGTTTTTCTGCTAACTGTGTTGCTCTCATCCTCTGCAGATGGTATTCACATGCTGGCCACAGCTCCTAATTGAACCACCCAAAGACCTGGCCTTTCACCCTACCAGGAGGGCCCCACCCTGGTCCCTGGCCGCAGCCACTGCTGTGCTGTGCTGTGTGCATTCCCCATTGCCTTGCAGCCAAGAGACCCCTGGCCTTGGTGTCTTTTTCTACTGCATCTGCGCATGGCTGCTTATGGCCAGGGACAAGTGATCTTCCTCCCAAATGTGTCTCAGTTCAGAGGGCACTCCCGTTTTGTAGCAGAGGGTGGCTAGAGCCAGGTGCTGTCCCCACTGGGGACTCTGTGTCCTCAAGGCATCCTCCTCTCAGCCTCAAGGACTTGGAAGTCTGTCATCCATGATAATGTGAAGCGTCCCCTTCTGCCTGGGGTTGAATAACCGGAAGAGTCTGGCCTAAGACCTACTCTGCTGTTTGGACATGAAACAGTTCTTCTTATACACCCTTTAAATCCCTGTCTCTCCCCACCTCACACACACACAGGACCCAGAGGGCTGTAACTCTCCTGAGATGTAGAAAGAGGACACAGGTGGAGAGGTGGAGAGCCGGCCAGCCCTTTTGGAATGTAGGAATGTTAGAATCTGGATGTCCCAGACCTGGCCAGTGGTAGGTGTCCTCTGGTCTTGTCCTTTTGGAGGGCAGGAGCTTGGTAACAGAGACAGAGCAGGCCTGGGTCTCCTCATCATGGAGGATCTGCTGAGATGCTCTTTCCCTGTCAAGGTGAGACACAGGTGTGTTGGTGCCCGGGCACCAGAGCCCAGATAAAGCATGGACAGAGACTGGGCTTAAAAAGGGGTGACCCTGTGACAGTGAGGGGTCAGTGTGGAGTTCAGGGTGTGCTCCGCAAATGATCCACCTTTTCTGGACTCTCAGCTTGTGAGGCAATGGAGGAGGATCCTCATAACCAGGATGGCTCTGGACAGATGGGGCTGAGGTGGGATTTAGCTGTGGTGAGGGGAGGTATGTAATGAACCAGTACTGCTTGGGCTGTGGAAGGGGGCCCAAGGTGCTCTGGGGATGGGGAGTTCAGGGTTTGCCTAGCTGAAGGAGGAGAGGAGTGGGTGGCTTTGTCTGTTTGAGTCTCAATGTCGGACATGTGTCCCAGGCCCTAAAGACTGCCACACAAGTCCACACTACTTCAATGGGCTGTGACTGCCCAGTCTGTAGCTCAACATGGGAGTAATCTTGGGCCTCGTCCCCCTGTGGGACTGGCCTATGAGGGCGGGTGAGGAGAAGTGACTTCTGTTCCTTGGCTCCATGCCACCCTCCACAGCGTCACAGGCCTCAGAGACGATGAGGCTGGGAGCACCCGCCTGGCTTCCTCCTGTCCCTTTGGCCATTGGTCACCACCAGCACCCCAGTGACAATGCAGCTTAGCTTCCAAGCCGGCAGCCCTCCTGCTTCCAAGTGGATGGAGGCGTCTCTACAGGGAACTAGCCTCTTCTAGCACCCTCATGAGCTCACTCTCTGGGCTGGGCTGGCACCTTCCCATGCTCACCAGGGCTGACTGGGCATGAACATGTCCAAGCCAAGGACAGGTAGGTAAAAGGTGGGCAGACCCTTGACACGGGACTATCAGGCTACTCACCCCCGGCCCCGCTAACCTCCGCAGGGGGACACCAGTATATACACAATTCATGTGGAAGCAGCTCAAAGTTCCAACAGGTGCTTCAGGTGAAGGCTGGAGTTCCCACCCCATTTGTTCCAGAAGCTTCTATAGAGCCCAGACAGACCCTATGTGTGTTCTCATCACCCCTTGGCTCCATGTCCGGATGACTGGCTCCCAGTGCTGGTAAGGACCCCAGTGATGATGCTTGAATTTCCCCTTTAACACCCAGCCTACATCCACCAAGTTTCAAAATACTGACTGTCTCCCAGAGGAAGTACACACGGGCTGACTCGGACTTTTCCTGAGGCAGGATCAGGGGGCATCTAAGGCCCTGCCAAATACTGTTAGAGTTTCCAGGCATTGGGTAGCCTGGGATCCATGTGCTCCGAGCTAATGGTCATGAGGCCCATAAAGCACTCCTGAGTTCTCCAAGTCACTTCTCTCCACTGCCAGGCCCAGAATGACCTTCTGGCCATGTCCCTCGCCTTCCCAGAGCCGGGCCTGCTGACCCTCCCTTCGGGTTCTACATCTCGGGCCTCACCAGCTCCCCTCCCCAGGGATCTCAGAGCAGTCAAGGAGCCGGATAGGCTGGCCACATTAAAGGCCTCATACCTCTTCCACAGGGCCTCTCTGCCCAGCCCTAGAGCCGGACCTGGTCTGACCTGGCCACTTCTCTGAAGACGTCGGACCATGTGTATGGCAATACTATTTTATTTACTTTGTGTGGAATCCATGAGAGTCATGATTCACAAGGATCATGTGACCAGCCCTGACCTTGATCGGAAGGAAACTGCTTAAAAAAACAAAACACATCAGAGAAACGATCACTTGCCGTAGACATCGGCAATGGGGATATTTCATTACTTTAAAAACAAAACAAAATACACAAAAAGCTCTCTTCCTTATCTTCAAAGTGTGGAAGAGAGACAGTCATGTGACTTGACCTCTGCGAACCTGAAAGGCCAGCCTCCCACCTGGAACTGAACGGAGGTGGTGGGCATCTGCATGCGGCTGTTCAGGAAGTGCAGAGTCCTCACGGAAGGATCTTCCCCGCTGTGGGCCAGGCCGTCCACAGACGAGCACATGCACACAGACAGGCGCAGGCCAAGACCGCTGAGGTGGCTTTGTGGCTCACTTTTCTTCAGGGTGGGCGTGGGTGGCACAGAGTGAATTTCAGAGGAGGTACAGAGGTTTGCCCTCTGCAGAGGACACACAGAAAGGTGGATGCATGGGAGAGGCATGGGTTTGCTGACTCCAGGGAGAGCACTCGATGGGAGCAGATAGCCTCTCTTGGTCACTGCTGCGGAAGGCTAAGGCCAGTGGGCTCTTCCCTGAGTGGCAGGTGAGGTCCCTGGGCACCCCTGTGGCAGCCTTTACATCAAAGTCCCCAGACAGTCTTTTGAAGGAGCCTGGCTCTCCGTTTATGGGCAAGGAAATGGCTTAGGGGAACCCTTCACTCCCTGCCAGGGAAGCTCTGGGGTGGTTTGGGGTGGTTCCCTCTAGTCCAGGTTAGCCCAGGACAAAATGCAACACAACCTCTTTAGAAACACAAGACGAATGTCCAGAGGCTGCTCAGCTCTTCAGGGACTCCAGGGATCTGGCAGGTCTAGCCTCAGGCTAGCCAGCTTCCTTGTGTCCCCCTTGGTAGCACACCTCTAACCCAGGCTATACTCCTGCATAAGTTTTCCAGGGGACTTGCCATCTTTCTCCCTCCTGGGCAGGGTGGCCTCCAGGGACCTCTGCCAGGCCCCTCCCTCCGTCTGGCCAGCCCCGGGTGTCCCTGACAACCCCAGCCCGACTACAGCGGAAGGAGCCTACACAGTGGAGGCCACAGGTGGATGGGCTCCTGGCACTGTGGGGCTGATCTCCATCTGAGTTAATTTTGTCACACATGAAGCAGATGGGCTGGGCGTGTGCTCAGTGGGGCAGCACACGTGCCTAGCATGAGTGTGGGCCCCACGTCCCACCGACTGCCCCCTTGGCACAGCAGAAACAAAACAGGAATACAGGCAAGAGGGCAGGGGAACGTTTTAGGAGCCGGCCCCGGATCCAGCCTGCAACCCTCTCCCCATTTCCTATTAGCATCCTCTCTCCGTGCCCAGGGCCACCAAAGGCACCAGCTCCAGGAGACCCTCTTTGGGCTGCTGTCCTCCTGTGCAGCAAGGGCTTCACACCACTTGGAGCAAAGACTCAGAAGCCAAGACCAAAATCTTGCCCTCCTGAATTTAACCTGCTCCCCTCCCTGACCCCGGTTGGTCAGGAACCACAAAGCTCCATCTACAGAGGCGGGCCAGGCCTCCTGGCTGGCACTTGAGGTGGAACACTCTGGGGAAGCAGCGTCTTCTCTGTACCCAGTGAGGACCCTGGCCCAGGCGGAGGAGCACACATTCTACTCCAACCCCGACATCTCCTCTTGCTTCCACCCCCCTCCCCCAACACTGTCCCCTCTACTTGGAGAGTGAGTCAGAAATGAGTAGCCCTTTCCAAGGTAGGCATCATGCCTCACCAGTGCTGGCACACACGCACACTTCAAAGGTGTCCTTCTCTACCAGAGCCCCGGTGACATTAGGCAATGTCGCCGGCACAGACATTAGTGGTAGGGCATAAGCACACAGGCGCGCTGGTCAACAGCGTGAAGTGTCATTTTAAAAAAATGGGCGAAAGAAGCCTCGTGGCCAAGGGATGGTGTGCGGGCTGATTACCCGTGATTTGTATGTCCTGGCGGTGGGAAGGCTAGAAGTCTAATGACTGAATTATCACCCTAATGCCTTTTGCTGGCTGGGAATAATCCTGGGGTAACAGCTGCCACAGGGTATTTGGCTGGTCTCCTCTAATTGCATCCAGATTAAGGCTGCTGTGCTCCGTGTGCGGGGCCTCCCCACGCCTCAGCGCAGAGCAGGGCTCAGGGAGCCCACACACCACGTCCGTCCGGCTGCAGAGGCCCCAGCTGGCTTAATGCTGCAGGTAACACCAGGATCCAGTCGTCCACGGGACGGGGGGGACACCTGGCACAAGGCTGCCGCTGACCGTTCTGGGTCAGGTCTTGGGGAGCAATGGGAGCTAGAGATCCTTGCTCTCTAACTGAGACTCTCCAGGGTGACTGCTCCCTATGTCCCCTCCCCAACACAGCAGAGTGGATGGGAAGGAGATGGGGTGCAGCCCAGGAGTGTGATCTTGGGGTGGGGAGGGTAGGAGCTGGCTCCTACTCCCTGGGAAAGGAGTGATCTGTATCTAGATTTCCTGGGGTGGTAGGCAGACAGGACCCCTCTGAATTACTAGGCTTCTGCTATGTGACTGCTGAGAGAAGCCCAGAGACGAGAGCTCGCTTCCTCAACATCGTGGCTTCCTGCTTTGCCTCAGGTGGTCAGCGAGTGCGGTATCCACCAACACTTAGAAAAACACTGCACGTTCCTGCCTCTACCATCAGGGGGTGACCCAAGACCCAGAGGCCAGTGCTGCCACACGCCCCCACCGGGACTTCAGAGGTGGTAACCCCAGAAGAGAGTGAGCAATCCTATCCAAGACCAGAACCACCCAGCCTAGACTGCTGCCCCAAAGCTGTGTGTGCCAGCTTGGTTCTGCCACTGAGGCTGTGCCCCATATACTGTCACTGTGGTGCAGGACAGCGGATGTGCCTGTGTGTGGCCCTAGCTTCCAGAAAGGTCAGGAGCTAGAACAGAAAGGAAGTCGGATAAAAAGGCCCCTCTCAGGACTTCACTGTTGCTCATCATGGACAGTACCCCCAAGATCAGGACACTCTCGACCAAAGGCTCTTCCTAGAAGGACCCACATCCTCAAACCTGCCTCGGAAAAGGGGCGGGCTATGGAGAAGGGGAGTGGCCGTATGAGACCCCCTCTTCCATTCTGATCAGCTCCTTTTGAACGTGGCACCGGCCTGCAGCGCCACTGTCGGTGAGAAAAGTCAATGGCAGGGCACCTCCGCCCACCCCTGCCCGCTGCATCCCACAAGGATTCAGCCCTTGGTGGAGGGTTCAAGGCTCCTTGCTTGCACCAGCTTTTGGGACACTGGCTAGGAATGCTCTGGAACACACCTTTATCCAACCACAATCCTCAGCTTCAGAGGGTGGAGTGTGGAGATGACCTTTTCCTTCTTAAGAGGCAGAGCACCCCAGTGTTGCTCAGCCAGCAGAGATGCACCCCTGCATAACAGGGACCCAGGTCCTGCATGGAGGTGGGAGGCACCTCCACAGCTATTTCAGATGCCTCTGTCTTGGCTGGGGATTTATGTACCCCCTTCTCCAGGACTAAGCATTTTATCTTCAGAGGACCTCATGGTTGCACATACCACACCCCTCAACCCGTTTAGGCTCCAGTTGGTTGCTGTTTTTGGTAGAGGGGAAAAACCTCAGATCCTAAGGAGAGGACCCCAGTGGGAGGTACATATGACACTTGTCCACCAGCCCGTGCCTCTGGCTCAGGGTGGACATGTCCTTCCCAACATCACATGGACACCGTGGGAAGCTCAGGTCTGAACATCTGCTCTCTCTCTCTCTCTCTCTCTCTCTCTCTCTCTCTCTCTCTCTCTCCCTCCCTCCCTCCCTCTTTCTCTCCCTCCCTCCCTCTCTCTCTTCCCTCTCTTTCTTTTTTGGACTGGTGTCTTCAAACCGGTCTTACAGCTGTGACCAGGAAGCTTCAGAAATATGCTTGACTCACTCAGGACAGTCCTGCTCCCCTGTGCCCCTTGGTGCTGGCGTGAGGGTGAAGCCTCTTCTAGACCCTGCTTCGCCTGCAGCCTCGTGGAGGGACTCTGGGCTCTGTTGGAGTCCCCCAGCCAGCCAGCCAGCAGCCTGTGTTCCAGTGCGGTAGCCAGACATCCTGGGCCAGCCTTTCAGGAGCTGAGTTCTCGGCACATCTGATACCTGCTGTCACTTCTAGAGTCTGATTCTGTCATCATGGTGACAAGGTTCTCTTCACACTGGCCAGAGGCCTTTCCTTGTATTTCTAGATTCTGTTCCCTCCATGTCCGTCCCCACCCCCTCCCACTTGCCCAGGACCTCAGGGAGTTGCTCTTGCTCCGTGTCAAGGGCAGAGGCTTTCCTATCTGCGGAAACCAAAGGCCTCCCGCGGTGCCTTAGGGCCCTTCTTGCCTTCTCTTGGAGGCTTGGGTGACGCCATCTCCATTGTGCCCCCATAGGGACAGTTCTCTGAGCCCGGGTGGTGGCCGGCACACTCCACAGCTGGCATGTACCCACTGTCCCACATGCCTGTCCCACACAGCTTACACAGGTCATGTAGGCTGCAGGGGATCCGTGGCAGAAGGCGGAACTGGTACAGGAGACTCCTGGCCTGCAGAGAGAGGAAAGACTAAGGGGAACAGTGGAAGAGCATGGAGGCAAGGGCCACACCCATGGGCTCTCTACGTGGGACGGTACAGTGGCCTGGGTCTTCACTGGCTGCCAAAAAGGGACCATGAGATACTTGGGCAGTTGAAGACACCAAAGTCCCAAATGACAGTGAAGTGATAAGAGTCAGAATAAGGGCCCCACACAGCCCTTCCTGTCCTTTGCAGGACCCCTCCAACCCAGACCCAATCCCTGCTGGATAAGAGAAGGCCCTTGTACTCTGCCCGTGCCTCACAGAGCTCCCTACGCCCCTGCAAGGTCTGTCTGGGGAGTCCAGGAGTGATGGGTCTGAGGACTCCTTCTCTGCCCCATGGACCACCAGAGGACTGGAATTCAAAGCTCTGCCTCTCTTTCCTCACTTTCCTAGCTCTGGACTGGAAGGAGGCACTCCTGGGTGGGAATTGGCTGGGCATTTATGCTTTGTAGATGAAAGTGGCTATGTCCAGTGATGGCCCCCTGAGGACCATGGGGATAATGTAGAGACTGGGCTGATGAGGGTGCATCAAGTGCCAATCCCCACGGACTCCGTAGAGAAAGCCGCACAGGTCAAGTGAGGGTCAGGATAGAGCTCTGCAGGTGGGGTGGTGCCCATGTGCAGATGTGGGGCTCTGTGATGTGAAAGGGACTCTATGTACAAGCTGAGCCCATGCACTGGGTAGGGTTCTGTGGTGTGGACAGGGCTCCATGGGCAGGGATGGGGCTGTGAAGTGCAGGTGGGGTTCTGTAAGGGCTGGGTCCTTTAGGTATGGGCAGGGCTTCACATGTAGGGGTGGATCTGTGAGATGTGGGTGGGGCTCCAGGTCCAGGGGTGGGGCTGTACAGTATGTGACCTGCTTTGTACAGGGCAGGCCTGACAGGCCAGGCCAGGGTAGCGCCCACCTTCCTGAGGACCAGTTCTCCATTCATATGCATGGCCAGGTTTCCAAAGTGCAGAAGCATCTGGTCTGTGGCCAGCTGTTGCTCGATGACATCATCTCCATAGATGGCCACAATGGCCACACAGATGAACAGGTGGAAGTAATCCGTCTGTGGGGAGACAGAGAGCTCACAGGGGCCCTGCCAAGTCTGAACAGGAGTTCAGCCATGAGTCTGGCTGAGGCTATCTGGGACTGGGTCTGTGCTCGAAGGTCCTGTGCGCCTGGGAAACCCGCACCCCTGGTTCATGCTCCATTTCCCCACCTGAAGACAGGGCCAGTGTTGGCAGCTGCATCCTGGGCTGCTGTGACCTACTAATGGATGGCACTGTGCCACACACCCTGGCTGCTGGTGCTCTCTTGGGAGGTGTCTGTGATGAGGGAAAAGAACACCTTCTTCCCTAGCCTGAGCTCACTGCAGGTCTCCTTCACAGTGGTCTTGGGGGTGTCACGTATGTGCAAAGGGCTGACCAGACTGCTTCCTGAAGGCTGGAGTATGCCAAGGAAGAAGTTCTGGCAGCCGACTTTCTGGTGGTGTGTCCTCCCACATCAGCAAGCATCCTTAGCATGTGCCTCCACTCCGTGGCTGGTGGCTGAGCATGTGGAAGATCCCTCCTAGGTGACTCCCTGGAGGCCCCATGGAGGGCTGCCTCCGCCCTGTTGCTCCTAGCCTTCTTTCCAGATGCCCACAGTCCCACCACTTTGTGGTGCTCCCTTCCTGGACACCTGAAGGTGCTCAGTCCTGAAGCAGAAGGATGGGGTTCTAGGAAGTTCCTGCTGAGTATCCAGATAACACCACGTGAGCTGCCACCTCCCAGCCAGACCAGCAGCGTGCAGGGGCTGTGGGTGCTGAAGCCCCCATCCCTGGCCAGCCCACCCTCTTCTTCAGAAGGAATGGGAGGGAGGGAGGGAGGATGAGACACATTCTATGGAGGCCAGACCAGAGGACACGGAAAGTCCCAGCTCCAGGCCGGGGCATAGCAGCAAGCCACAGCCCAGAGCAAGCCACAGCCCAGAGTACTGCATGAAGCCTTGCCTTCCGAGCTTAGGCCTCACCTGGCAGTGACCCCTCTAAAGCTCACTCCTGGTTCATTCCTCCTCTTCCCTTGCCATTCTCAGCTGATGGGGGAAGGGGGATGTTCCAGATGTGACCACTAACCCCAAAATCTGAAGGCAACATGAACTTGCTTTGTGGGTCTTGAATAAGATGGCGGCCAACAGGGGCTGAGGAGCAGGTACTGCCAACAGCCTCAGAGGACAGCTGAGTTATTTCCCTGGCCACTCAGAATATCCATCTAGAATAGTCTTTTAAGTCTAGGATGCTCTGGCAAGCAGGTGGACTGCTGTTGCATGTGGCAGAGGGAGGGTGACTTCAGTGTGTGCTTTTCACAGCTGGGGTTAGAAGTGGAGGAGGACAGAGCTGTGCCCTGGACACACAGATGGTACTGTTTTTTGTTTGTGGAAGCACATGTGTGCATGTACATATGTGCACCCACGTGAGGCTAGAAGACAGTATCTCAGGGTCTCTCCCTGGGACCTGGAGCTCAGCAATTAGGCTAGCTGACTGGCTGTCTCTGATCCCCCAGCATGGTGGTTATAGGTATGTGCCACCACAGCTGTTCTTTGTTTTGTTTGTTTGTTTGGAGACAGTTCACACCGTGTAGCCTTGACTTTCCTGGAACTCACAAAAGTCTGTCTGCCTCTGCCTCCAGAATGCTGGGATTAAAGATGTGTACTACCGTACCTGGCATGCCTGGCTTTTTTAAAAACACGTGTTCAGGGACTCCAGTGTAGATCCACAAGCTTGCATGGCAAGCACTTTACCCAGAGTCATTTCCCCAACCTTTGCTATTATTGTTGTTGTTGTTTTAAGGCTGATGGAGTCAAAATGGTTTTCCTACTTTCTCACACTGATGGCTTGGGCGTAGCTTAGGTGGCATGGAGAGTCAGCCCCACGGTCAGAGGGGATTTGGTGGAGGAGAAACTGATTAGGCTAAATACGAGTGCATGCCTGCATCCCTGATCCAGGCTCTCTCTGGGGCTGTGGGAAGGCAGGGGCTCAGGGTGGCCCAGCAGTCCCAGGGGGCAGGGCAGCACAGCACTGGCCACAGCATGTGGGCACATAGATCCTGGGCTGCCGTGACTGTCCTGACCGGCTGTGACAGAAGGGGGTGCAGGCCAGAACGCAGTAATGAGCATGTCAGCCAGCAATTTACATTGATTTCAATTACATGGGAGGGGAGGTCTGAAGCCGGCTGCACGGGCCTGGAAAACAGTGGCCGTGAGAGGCTGTGGTGGTGGCGGGTGGATGGGGTGAGGGGGAGGCTTGGGGTAATCCCAGGACCCTACCTTCCCCACAGGCTGGGCACAGGATGGTAACTGCACTCATGGGTGGCACCGCCCCCTCACCTGGTAGTGGGCCCAGCAGGCCTCCCAGATGCGCAGGGCCTCGGCCTCAGGAAACTCCCGTTTGAAGCAGAGCAGGAGCCAGCGGTGGCAGAAGAGCATCTGGAGTCCGTCCTCGCCCAGCGAGACCAGGTGCTGGTAGAAGCGCTGGTGTGTCAGCCGGAGCAGCTCCCGCAGGTACAGCTGGGAGTGGGGGAGGGGAGCGTGGCGTTACCCAGGCTCTGGCAAAGCCTGCCTACCAGGGCCCGGAAGACCCGTGCTCAGAGTACCTTCAACACCAAAAGCACACACAGGCAGTCTCTCTGTCTGCCAAGCACATCAGCCAGCTACTATGTCAGTCTGTCTGCCACTGGAACCTTCTCTCTCTCTCTCTCTCTCTCTCTCTCTCTCTCTCTCTCTCTCTCTCTCTCTGTCTGTCTCAGTGTGTGTGCGCACACAGGTCAGATGTTGACACTGGGTGTCTTCTAACAGTCTACCTTATTTTATTTTTAAAAAAGATTTATTATTAAAAAATTGAGCTTATCTATTTTATGTGTATGAGTGATCTGCCTGCATGTGGGTCTGTGGGTCACACTGGTGCCTGGAGTTCATGGAGGCCAGAAGAGAGAGTTGGATCGCCAGGAACTGGAGTTACAGATGGTTGTGAGCAATCATATGGGTGCTGGGATCCAAGTCCAGATCCTCTGCAAGAGCAGTCAGTGCTTTTAACCACTGAACTATCTCTCCAGCCCTTATTTTGTTATTTTAAATTACGCAAGTAGAGATGGGTCTGTACACATGACTTCAGGTAGCCAAGGAGGCCAGAGGCGTTAGCTCTGAAACTGGAGTTATAGGCAGTTGTGAGCTGAATGATACACGTGCTGGGAATCAAACCCAGGAGCAGTACATGCTATAAACCTCTGAGCCTACCTTTTTTTTTTTTTTTTGGAGACAGTCTCTCACTGAACCCAGAGCTCGCCAATTAGCTGGACCTGCCAATTAGCAGGGATCCACCTGTCTGCGCGTCCCCGGTGCACACCCAGCATTTCCCCAGGTGCTGGGGATCTGGAGTCCGGTCCTCATGTTTGTACGACAGGAAGTCTGCAGACTGAGTCACCTCCCAGCCTCCACCACTGGAATCTTGCTCACACCTGTCTACCAGTTCATCTTAGATTTAAAGATATTCCAGGAGACCACGGTATAGCTCTAGGCATAGAATGATCTCCTGGGTGGTCAAGGAGGCTGACTCAGTGTGAAGTCATTCCCCAGCCTCAGTCGACCCCCAGGGGCTGTTTCAAAGGTATGCCTGACCAGGCAGGGCAAGCAGGGTTGTTCATGAAGCCCCAGCTAAAGCCCCTTCCAGCCCACCACGATTCAGCAACTCCCAGGGCTGATTGAGGGAGGGTACGTGTCTGAGTTTCAAGACCCCGGATTCCCGTGTGTCAGGTCACCAGGTTGCATGGGACTTGACAGAGGCTATTTCTGGCAGCACCAGGTGGGGGTTGCTGACTTCACTGACGCCACCAGAAAACCAATCTCCAGCAGCTAATGAGTCACCGGCCATGTGCCGCCAGGCTGCCAGGGTGATGGCGTCAGACCCTGTAATTGCCTCCCTGGGTACCGTGGAAACCTGACATCACAGGGATGCATGATGAGGCAGGGGCCTGAGTGTCTGGTTGGGGTCAGAGGCTCCACAGTGGAGCCTCGGGACTGTACACCACTCCTAAGCAAGCACACTGCTGTCCCCAGCGCCTGGAGTTGTGTGGCTCTGGAGTCCAGGACTCCACTGACTGGCCAGGGTCTCCACTCTGTGGCTCATGGAAGGTCAAGGCCACCATGTAGCTGAGAGCTCTCTAATGGACGTCCAATCTGCAAAGCTGCCAGGGTGCCCTGTACCTCCTGCTGCTGGCTGCTTTGCACTCGGACCTTCCAGCTCCCAGTGGTTGATCTATGGGCCATGCCTCTTACCCTCCCTCAGCTCTGCCATCACTCACTGCATGAGGCACACACACCGTCCAGCAAGAGGTCACTAATCATGATGACCCCAAACCCTCTGTTCAGCCGAGTCTCCAACGCTTGGGACCCATATGGAATAGAGACAGCCATCGGAGGGGGCACCTCTGACTCCTGTCCCCAGAGTCCAGTGCCCTCTGCTCATATGTTCACTCTGTCAGCTTGCCTGCTTCCAGACCAGGCCATCTGCAGGACGGAGGGCAGGCCACCCACATCCAGGGCCTGGAACCAGGCAGGAGCTGGACACAAACACAGGTGCCTTTCAGTGACAAGATCCAGTCCCCAGCCAGTCGGTGCTTCCTGGTTTATGTACAGCTGATCTCTGTGACACAGGACTTGTGGCCAGTGTTAGCTGAGCCTCACAAAAAGGTCAGCTTTTGGGGGGTGGAAACGTGAGATTTGCCTGTTGGACATCTGGGTAATATTGGAGACCTTGTGTCCCCTCTGCATACAGCTGGCCTGGCTGTCTGTAGTGGGCTCTGCTGGTCACACACCTGAGCCAGGTAGCATGGACCTCCTTTTCCTTTCCCCATCCAAGAGGCTGAATTGTGATGGCCCTGCAGGGTGAGGCCTTAAATAGTCAGTCTCTAGAGTTTCTGGAAGAATGGGTTAGAGGCTGGCCCAGACCCAAACACACATCTCCTGTAAGTGGCTACCTGGCCCTTCCCAGAAGACCCATGTCCTGTCAGTAGAGACCCTGGTTTTCTGCCTTACTGACCCTTGATGTCACGACTGCATTTCACCATCAAGACCCCTGGCAGCAGCTGGGCAGTGGTGGCCCATGCCTGTAATCCTAGTACTTGAGAGGTAGAGAGAGGTGGGTCTCTGAGTTCAAGGTCAGCCTGGTCTACAGAGTGAGTTCCAGAGCAGCCAGGGCTGCACAGAGAAACCCTGTCTCAAGAAACAAAAACAAACACAAAAAAAACCCCAAAAACAAAACCAAAAAACCAACAAACAAAAAAAAAACAAAACAAAAACAAAAAATCCCCTGGCACCAACAGGAGGCAGTGTGCTGTCTCTCTGAACCCTTCAGTACACAGACAGACAGACAAGCACACACACATACACATGTGCACACAGATGTAAACACACATATCCACATATACAAGGCACCAATATATGCATGCCCACACAGTACACAGTGATATACACACACACAAAAACTTGTGTGCAAGCTTGGTTCTATGCCTCCTCACCACAGTACACGTACTAAGTACATACACATACACACACACACACACACACACACACACACACACACACGCACGCACGCACGCACGCACGCACGCACGCACGCACGCACGCACATGCCTCACCAGCTGTCTCTCCATGTCCTCGTCCCGGGGAGAGCTAACAAAGATGGTGTTCTGCATCAAACCCACGAAGCACCAGAAAGTGTCTGATTCATCCAAGACCTCAGCCAGGATGGGTGCCACCAGGTCTGACATGCCCTGTGAGTAGCCGATGGCTGGGTTGTACACAGCATAGTTCAGCAGGATCCTCCTGGTGGGGCAGTGGGGAGCAGAGGTGGCTTGACCCATCCCACCCCTGCAGCCCCCATCGGGGCCTGTTGGGCAGGTGCTGGGGCCCCTCCTCCATCTTGGTCTCAGGGGAGGCAGCCCCCAGTGGCAGGTGTCACACACGGCCCTGACTATCTCAAGGGTGTGGGTTACACGCCTTTAATCCCAGCACTCAGTAGGCAGGCAGATCTCTATGATTTTGAGGCCAGCTTGGTCTGTATGGAGAGTTCCATGACAGCCAGGGCAGCATAGAGAAACCTTGCCTCTGGTTTCTGGTCTCTGATGGAAGTCAATGGGACTCACTTTGCATGGGGTAACAGCATTTGCCAGAGCCCAGAGCAGGGGCTGGGCAGGAATATGAGTCCAACTTTCTTAATGGTTCACTGTCTGTGACAAAGGGTGGGCTGGCTGGGCCTGTTTTCAGGGACTGTTAATTTTGTGCAGTTATTTGCCAGGCTGCGGCAGAATGTCAGAGATGGCGGCCTCTGGCTCAGTGTGGCGCTATCAGAGGCAGACCATCATCAGGAGATGAGAGCACACACAGCAGCATGGGGAAATGTCCTTAGTGAGCAGGGGCCAAGCCTGCAGGAGATGAGGGATGGGGAAGCTTTGCTGGTACCCTCAACTGGGGCTGCGTGGCCGCTGAGGGGTCAGGAGTAAGGTAGCTCATGGGTCCCCTGTTCTGGTGGAGTGCTGCACTAGCAGCCAGGGAGTCCAAGAGGGCCACAGACCTCCACACGGGGAGAGTCACCAGGTACCTCATGCTCTCCACGTTCGGGTTGTCCTCCCCTCGGAAGAACTGGTTGTTCCTATCTGTGCGGACCACGTCTTTGTCCACAGTGAACTGCACGTTGCGCCAGAAGGCCCTCTGGTCCTCAGGAGTCATGGAGAGCCTGTGGGGCAGACAGCACTGTCCTGAGGGCAGCTGCGGAAGGGGGTTGTCCTGGAGTACCCAGGGAGGGGGCGGTACAGCAGACCACGGGAGCCTGGAGTAGCCGCACACTCCAGGAAACAGAAGCCTGTGCTCTGCTGAGCTCCAACCTCTGCTGCTGGGGCTGTCGGCACCAACAGGGTGTGTGTGTGTGTGTGTGTGTGTGTGTGTGTGTGTGGTGTATTCAAGGCTCTCCTCATGTTAAGTCAAGTCCAGCCCCACAGAGGAGAGCTGACTGCAGCCTGTCGGTAGTGAAACCCATGTGGGAGGCAGCCTTCAGCCCTGAAGTCAGGTCCCCAGCCCAGTCTGCAGTTGGTGGACACAGGCCCCTAGTTAAGTCTGTTGAACACATATTCTAAAATCCTTGGCATGTGAACTGAGGAGCCTGGACCAAGGCTCTGAGGGTGCGGTGTAGTGACCGACCGCCTTTATCCTGCCAATGGTGCTGGCTCTTGGGAGACTCGCGCTCCAAAGAACCCATGGTTCACGGGACACACAGTCAGTGATGGACTGCACCTCTGACTTCCCTGCCGTGGTCTGACGGGACTCCTGGGGCGCAGTGCACCTTTTTTGCTGGATCGCTGCATATTCCTTTCGCTTCTGCTCCCGCAGCGCCTCGCGCTCCTCCGATGTGGACTCGTGGCTATAATAGTGCAGCAGGAAAGGCCAGACCTCCCCCCGGATCGACACATCAATGCCACCAAAGAAAATGGCCTGGAGGGAGCAGCACAAGTTGAGGGGGTGGGGGACAGAGTATAAAACAGGGCAGCTCAAAGAACCCCAAATCCCCAGAGAAGGGTGTTGTGGGGCCTTTGGCGCGCCTCGATTCAGACCCCGGCAATTTGCACATGTTTACAAGGGGAAAGTGCTGGAGAGGCATTCCCATACAGGATACAAACTGGCTCATTTCAATGTCAAAGCCCCCCCGGGGTGGCACTCTGAGATCAACGCGTCATTCTCCTGTCACGGACTAATCCTGGGGGTTTCAATACTTCAGAGTCTGCAGGGCCCACATGGGATCCCCAAACTTGTGGAATTGTCTCCTCAATGAAGCTGCTTGATCGCTTCATCAGTGCACTGAGCAGGACCCACACTGGGACTGGCCCTCTGGAGGCGGCGGCCCGCCACCCACCCGCCCACCGTCCCGGCTTGACCCCAAGGGCTCCCCGGAGACTGGCCAGGTGGCCGCGCCATACCTGGCGAAGCTTGTATTCCTCCTCCACCTGGCCCAGATCATTCAGGTGGTTGAGCCAGGCGGACACGTCCAGCCTCCGGTACAGGCTCTCTTCCGGGTGGGTCTCAGAGGATGGCAGCTTGGGCCGTCGGATGGAGAACTGCATGCATGTCCTCTCATCCGTGACCTGCTGGATGGGTGGGAGGAGCCCGGGTGGAGAGCAGGATCTCAGATCTTGGGCTTTTGAAGCCTGGGATGCTGTTCCCAGGATGTCAAAGCCACTCTCTCCTCTGGGAGGAGGGGAGGCGCTATCCCTGAACACAAACTCCTAAATGGCAAGTGTAATTAGACACAATTAAAATGAAAAAAACCTTCATCCTCAAATCGCTCTCCCTTTGCAGCTCACAGCCTCCACCGCCCCCACTCCCTTTCCTGCCCCAGCCGCAAAGAAAACCAGGATTAATACCCCTTACGGCCCAACCTCCCTCTGCCAGGGAGGGCCTGCAATAGACTCCATTCCATCGGCCACATACAAAGGCCCGCTGTTCGGCGAGCGGGGAGCCAGCCTGTCAGATGGTTTCCATGCGCAGTCACGAGTCCAGGGCGAAACCGCAGCTGACATTTAATTCAAAAATCAAAGGTTGCTCGATGCAGGGGGGCACATGCCTCTATCGTAATGAGGGGAGCCGGCAGGAGGCTCTGCGGGTAGGGCCGTAAAGTCAGCCCCCGGCTCTAATAAGCACATACAGTACCTTAAACAGGTGATTAAAGGGCTCTTATTGCCTCTGTATGCAGAATGAGCAAAATATGGCAGGAAGCCTTGTCAAAACATGAGTGTTCAAGTGTCAGAGTGACTTTCAGAAAGACCTGGGCACACATTTCAACATCCGAGCACACTGCTGTCAGCCACTGAAAACCACCAAATGCCACAGTCCTCAGAGGGGAGTCCCTGGAGCCAGACCCGTGAGGAAGGTGTCCCCAGACAGTCCCAGACCCACGGGGTTGGCAGCTGGTAACCTGAGAGAGGTGTTTCCACCCCTCACCCTAACCAACCATGTCCACCCCACCCTCTGCTGGGCTACCTGGTCCCTGAGGTGTGTCTCCGTGCAGAATTTCCATCGCTGGAACACCTCGGAGAGCTTGTCCAGGCCACCGTGGTGGAAGTGAAAAATCTTGTACTGGCTTTCTCGGCTGGCTACCACCAGCTGGCCGCTCGTACAAGCCTCGTCACTACAGGGCCACAGGGTGGGGGGAGGGATGAACGGGTTAACACAGGTTTTGATTTCTGAGTTTAATCAGAGCACGCTGTCAGCCACCTCAGGCAGGAAACAGTGCGTCCCAAGGGAGTCTGGCTGCTTGTGTGAGGAACACAGTCAACCAGACTCAGCATTCCCTCTACCTAGGAAGCAAAGGCAGCTGGATCCCGGGGTCTCCTGGCACGCCATTCCTGAGCTGCCCAGAGACCTGGAGGAGGATGCCAGGGCTGGCTGGATGCAGATCTGGACCCTGCAGGGGTTACTCAACCTCCTCTACCCTCACGGCTGGATCATAAGGGGCCACAGGAGAGGGTTTCCCAAGATCTCCTTCAAGGCTGTCACCCGACCACCTCAGCATCCTCAGGGATTCCTACAGGGATTTTTGGTGGGTGCTGACTTGGACTGATGTGGGAAATCATAGGTAGGAGCAGTGACGGGGGTCTGTGAAGGAAGACCACCTCCATCTGGAGGCCAGTACAGTGCCAGCCATGCAAATGACCTGTGGGGTCCTAAAGCCCAGTAGCCTGCAGTGCCCATCAGCAGCTCTCTCCTGGTGTGGGCCTTCTTTCCTGAAGGGTAAGCAGGGTATTGGGGGACAGACTGGGGCAGCCTCAAGTGGGATACCGCTGATGACGGTGGATCAGGGATGCAACTGCCAGCATCAACTGGACCAGTTGCAGCCCTCTGCTGCCTGACAGACTGGAAATGCACATGGCTACGTGTGCCTCCCCCATGTGTGCATATGCATACATACACACACATACATGTAGGCACACATACTTACATACATGCTTCCAGGAAGCAAAGGATAGGTTCTTACCTGAAGAAGAGTCGCAGCGAGCGCATGTGGCCCAGGTCCACACGGAACACACCACAGATCTGCTCCAGGGCACATCCCCGCTGTGGCTCATCCCAGCGAGGTGTCTGCAGGAGGCCATTGCTGTCGGGGAACCGCAGGTTGGCATCCGAGCTAGAGGGGGAGCTGGCAGAGCAGGTGGTGTGAGGACCTCATCTCTCCACTACGCCAGCCCAGGGGAAGGATGGAGAGGGGGTATGTAACCCACACCGCGAGCTTAAACACACAGGACACGACGGAACACGCTTTGCCAGAAGCTGCACCCCGGATGCATGTGGTTGAACGAATGAGCAGGTTGATCCCATTACTCTCTCTCTGTACATGGTGATACTTTGGTTTGAACAGAAAAGCATTATTTTCATGAGGATACTCCAAGGTACCTTGATATGGGGAGGAGGTTGTCAGGATGGCAGACACTAGTGCTCCCACCTCCTAAGTGAACAGAGGCGAGCGACTGAGCCTGTACGTTTTATTTGTGAAGTGACGATAACAACAAGGAGATGTGTGGAATAAGCAACTGTCAAGTGCTTGGTCCCTGTGGCCCGTGAAGGACAGCTGCCCTGTCACAGTCTTAGACAGTACGGAGCTTCTACCTAGGTGTGGATTTCTTGTTTGTTTCTGAAAAACAATGTTTATGTGAGGAAACACGTGGGTTACCAACATTAACTATACAGCTTGCATAATGACATGAGGACATGGGCTTGGCCACTTCCTATGTGCTGGGGTGTGTGCACGCATATGTGCTGGGATGTGTGCATGCACATGTGCTGGGTTGTGTGTATGCTTATGTGCTGAGGTGTGTGCATGCACATGTGCTGAGGTGTGTGCATGCATATGTGCTGGGGTGTGTGTATGCTTATGTGCTGGGGTGTGTGCATGCACATGTTCTGAGGTGTGTGCACGCATATGTGCTGGGGTGTGTGCACGCACATGTGCCGGGGGTGTGTTCACGCATATGTGCTGGGGTATGTGCATGCAGATGTGCTGGGGTGTGTGTATGCACATGTGCTGGGGTGTGTGTATGCACATGTGCTGGGGTGTGTGCACGTATATGTGCTGGGGGTGTGCATGCATATGTGCTGGGGTGTGTGCACGCACATGTGCCGGGAGTGTGTGCATGTACATGTTCTGGGGTGTGTGCACGCATATGTGCTGGGGTGTGTGCATGCACATGTTCTGGGGGGTGTGTATGCACATGTGCTGGGGTGTGTACATGCACATGTGATGGAGTGTGTGCACGTATATGTGCTGGGATGTGTGCATGTACATGTGCTGGGTTTTGTGCACGCATATGTGCTGGGGGTGTGCATGCATATGTGCTGGGGTGTGTGCATGCACATGTGCTGGGGGTGTGCATGCGTATGTGCGAGAGCATGTGTCAAGGCTAGAGTCAATATCAGGGATCTTCCTCCATCCCTCAGGGACCCTGGAGCTCACTGACTGGCCAGACCAGCTGCCCAGCACAGGACCAGGGCTCCTCTTCTCTTTGCTTTCTACAATGCTGAGGTCACAAGTGCATGTTACCCAGCTTCTTTATGTAGGTGTGAGGGATCAAACTCAGGTCCTTAAGCACTTTATCCACTGGGCCCTCTCCCCAGCCCTTGTTTTTGTTCTTGTTTTGTTTTTTCAAGATAGGGTTTCACTGTGCAGTCCTGGTTGTCCTGGAACTTGCTCTGCAGACCAGGTTGACCTCGAACTCAGAGATCTTCCTGCCTCTTGAGTGCTGGGATTAAAGGCGTCCGCTGCCGCCACCACCTGGCCCTCATGTGTTCTTATGCCATGATCTTATTACAGGAGTAGAGGGATTACCCGCTGTTCAGAAAATGAAACTGAGGCCCAGAAGGGCTACGTAATTTGCCCAAGGTCACACAGCTAGTGAGTAGTGGAGCTGAGACTGGAACCTGAGCTCTGTCCTCAGTGTGCAGTGTGGCTATGCCACCCCATCATTCTACCGTTCTTGCTGTTGTTTTAGTTTGGCTGTTCGCTGCTACAGCAGAAGATCAGTGTAAACCCCACAGTGAACAGGTCCCCGGGAAGCTGGTCCAGCCCTCCTCTGTCAGACATCAAGGAGAAAGCAGGGCCATTCAAACCCTGCACAGTCTCCAGAACACCAGGCCAGTTATGATACGGCTCTCCTTCCCAACCTGTGTCAGGAAGTCAGGCCAGCAGGGTCCCCCCACAGATCCAGGATGCGCCTCAGTCTTCCTGAGTGGACTCTGCTGCTGCACACTGTAAAGTCCTTGCCCACACTCTAGGTGAGAGTCTGCCAAAGGCTGTTTCCTGTCCCACCCTGCACGTATTGATAAGCTGTGTGCAATGTGGCTGGGGTCACTATAACATCAGGCTGCAGCACCATCCTCCAACACTTCTACAACCTCCTAGAAACCCAAAGAACAGGCAGCAAGATACTGAGCCAGGGTACAGGCAGAAGGTCCCTGCATCTTCCCAGGAGTTGGGAATGGAGCAGGAGGTAAGACGTTTTTGAAAAGCAATGGTTATATGAGCAGGCTTCCTGTTGTAATGTCAACCTGGTGACATGCAGGAAAAGGAGAGCTAGGCAGACAGTTAGAATACCAGTGGCTACCCAGGGACTGGAGGAGAGGAGACACTATGGTGCACAAGACACTACAACCCTCTGTATGACACCACAAGGTTATTTACACACTTGCTCAAACCCAGAGAACAATGCCTTGTGCAAACTGTGGACTTCTGGGTGATAATGATCCATTAGTGTGGGTGCATCCACTGTCTCACGGCTGATGTTGTTGCTGGAGTGGCTGGGTCCCCACGGGACCAAGGACACATGGGAAATCTTCGCAGTGAACCTACAACTCTCAAGCTAAAGGTCTATCAAGCCAGGTGTGATGTATGCAAGCCCATAATCCTCACACTCCAGAAATGGAAGCAGGAGGATCAGGAGTCTAAGGCCAGCACAACTGAACTACGCAGTGAGTCTGAGGCTATCTCAAAAAACAAATGCACAAACAGATGAGTATTAAACAATGATGATGATAACGAAAATGAACCGCCCACAAACTGCAGACGATAAAGACTAATACTGTTAATATATTAAAATGCACATACATTATAGCAATGAATTACACAGGAAAGTCTCAAAAGGAAAGGACAATTTACTGGAGGACACACAAAAGCAGTATGTTCATGTCTAGAGTAATAAAAAGAATTCAAGTGCAAAAGAGGCCATTCTGGGGTGGGTGTTAAATTGGTGATGATTCAAAGATCATTAGCTAGGGGCGGACAGGTAGCTCAGCAGTTAAGGGTGAATAATGTTCTTGCAGCAGACCCACGTTCAGTTCCCAGCACTCACATCAGACAGCTCACAACACTCTGTAACTCCAGCTCCAAGGGATCATCCAGCATATCTTCCTTGTCATGGCAGCGGCTGGTAGTGTCTCTCTCTCTCTCTCTCTCTCTCTCTCTCTCTCTCTCTCTCTCTCTCTCTCTCTCCCTCCTCTCTCTTTCTCTCTCTCTCATATATATATATATGTATATAGATATTTTATAACACACACACACACACACACACACACGAACAAAAAGCCAATATTTAAAATCTAAGCCAGGAGGGGTGGCATATGCCTGTACTTCCAGAACTTGAGAGGCAAAGGCAAGAGGATCAGGAGTTCAAGTCATCCTTGTGTACATAGTAAGCTGAAGCCAGGGTGGGCTACCTGAGACCCTGTCTCAAAAACAAAAATCAAACAGGCAAACAAAGAAATGTGTGTGTGTGTGTGTGTGTGTGTGTGTGTGTGTGTGTGTGTGTGTGTGTGTACACCGAAGCCCAGGGTTCTCAGGAACACTTTGGCACAGCTTACAGGAATGTAGGAGACTGGCCTAATTTTTCTGAATGGCTTAACATATCGGTGTGTTCCAACCTTTTTATTTCCTTTCTAGAATTAATTCAAGGAGAACAGTCATAAAATCACACGCATGAATAGATACAGAACATCCTACTGGAAAAAGTGACAAAACCCACCAACTAGGAAGAGAAGGGAACTTCCTCAGAAGAGGAAGGACACTGTGTCATCTATCTACAGTTAACATCAGACTTTGTGGGGAAGGACGGAATTGTTCCCCTCAAAAACAGGAGCTTGGGGCTGGAGAGACGGCTTAGTGGTGAAGAACACTTGTTGCTCTTGCAGAGGACTGGAGTTTGGGTCCCAGCACCCACATCATGGCTCACAATCATCTGCAACTCCAGTTCTGGGGGATCCAAGATCTTCTTCTGACCTCCTAGGGCACCAGACATGCACATGATACACAGACATACATGTTGGCAAAACACTCATATACATAAAGTAAATAAATAAATATAAAAGTAAAAAAAAAATAAGCAAGCCAGGAGCTAGGAACTGGCTTCTACTGGTATCCTGTATCCTCCAGTGCCCACCTCACCTCCACACAGGACAGGAAGAGGGAGGGGGAGCCACATAGAATGGTGGGGGAGAGTGCAATGGTCCGAGCTGGTAGAGGATGTGACTGTTTATATGGAGCATCTCTGGGGAATTGTAAAAGAACTCTCAGAGCCCTGAGCACACTGAGTGAGTTTATAGGCTAGATGGTTAATAGAGAGAAACGGACTGCGTCCTTCAGCCATCAAGGCACAACTGGAAAATGAAACAACACATTCAACTTCCACCAGAAATAAAGTCATGGCCGGGGAGATGGTCAGTGGATAAAGCCTTGCCATGGGAGCTTAGGGACCAGAGTCTGGGCCCCCAGAACCCACATAAAACCCCACATCAACTCAGTGCTTGGGAAGTGAGAAGGGATTCCCGGAGCAAGCTGGCTAGCTAGCCGAGCACAATCAGGGAGTGCTGAGTTCCAGGAGGGACCTTGCCTCAGTAAATAAAGAGGATAGCACTCAGGGACGACACCAGATGTTAACCTCTGCCTGCGCGCGCGCATGCATGCGCGCACGTGCCCACATGCACAGCAAACACACATATATATGTACAGCCACAAAAAGGTCTAGAGACAATTTGGGGTCTGCTCTAACAGATCACAGTCAAGACCCCCACGCTGAAAACCATAAGGCAGAAATCAAAGAAGTCAGTGAGCAAAGACATACATCATGTCCACACTGTCACCAAGGGTGTGTGTCG